GTCATTCTGAGTTATTTGTCCACAACTTATCTGTCTGCCTACTCAAGTCTGTAAGCAAAGTAGCCAAAATCAGTCAAAATTATCCTAAATAACCTCAAAAGAAGATATTATCATAAAATGGTAGAATACTACTTCATTTAACTTACCTTGACAGATGGTCTTGATGGATAATTGAAAGAAACATTTTTAAATTCCACAGTTCCTTCTATGCATTCAGGTTTATACCCAATTGTTGAAAAGTTATCTATACTGGGTTTCTTAGAAAAACAAAGAGAATGTTATAAATCTTCAAAGGAATAAGACAATACCCTTTATATCCTAAAAATAGTTTAAAGATGTTTTTCTTTTACAATGTTTTTCTTTCTGCTTTAGATGTGGACACAGAGGTTTCAATAAAACACAATCCCCTCATAAAAAAAGAGTTGAAAGCACTCTTTATTTCTATTAGGCAGCTGGTTGATGTGGATTTCGCCATCCTTTGGCTTTAGTGAAATGAATGTGCCTGAGTTTTGGTCTCCTTCCTGTAGTAATGATAGCTAGCTTTCAAAGCAAGGAGTTCTTACCTTATCAATCACCTGGAAAACATTAAAGGCAGCTCCTCTGGCTATAGAGAAGGTTTCAAAGTGAGGGGCTGCTGCTCCAATGCAGTAACTACTGTGGATTACACTAAAGAACACCTAYAGGAACAACAACCACAAAAATCATAGTTACACACTGCAGTTATTCAGACAAAAGGATGAAGTATACAGTCGGTTTAGGTTCATAGAGAAATATTATAGGAATTAGCGGTTCAGAGTGGAAGATGTGATCAAATAAACAGGAAATGCAAGTTTAATCCAAGTATCTTTGGCCCTTTCCTAATACAGAACAACTTTTGATTGTCCCATAGTTTTGTGGTGGTTACCTACTGGGAGAACTGTGCAGCACCATCTKCTAACAGAACCTTTCTGGCTGTTCATGGTCTTCTGGGTAAGAGGTAAAGTGAGTCTCCAGTCCCACTCCTCTCCTTGTAGCTCACCCCCTGTGCTTTAACAGGAGGAGTGGTAATAGATGTCACTCGATAAGAGACRGTATACTATTTCCATTCTCCCATTTTTTGAATTCTTTTATCATTGTCAGCTGCCTGTTTTCAGGCAAACATAACTCTGAATAAAAAGCCAAACAAGGAAAAAACTCCTAAGTTAGGTGCTATTTTCCCCATCATACAGATGAGAAAGCTAGAAGAAAAAGGACTAGCCCCAAATTCATGCTCACGTTTCACATTATATGAGATAAAGAGCTTAGAGTCTTAAGTGTGAAAGTCTCAAATCCAAAAGATGGCTGTAGTTGAGAAAGGAAAAATCTGCACACAATGGGAAGGCCAAACGAGAACTGAAGTATGTAGAGCAGAACAATTTGGTTCACTATGACAAATGTTTGTGGATCTTAAATTGTTCTTTGTTGAAATTTGAGAGGATAACAGAAAAAAAAATTAAAATTAATAACCCCTAGGAATTGAAAAGACTCAAAATTTCAATGTTGAACAGAGCTTTATAAYAGTTTGTTTTTGACATTCCTGTATATTGAAATGAGGGGAAGAGCAGGTGACTCCCATGRACAGAGTATGCCCAGAGGAAGGACGTTTAGTGACTGTTGAGAGCCATCTTATGTCAATAAGCTTAAAAGGTCAGGTGCCCCTAGAGACTAACCAAGAAAAYCACGTCCCTCTTAGTGGGTAATTCAGACAAAAGCATAATGCTTGGCACATGAGGACACCAAAGCATGTTGGATGAATAAATCCCATTAGCTTAAAACTGTGAAAATATCTACAAATCTTGTGAGCAAGACCAATACTTGTTTATCAAAAACATCTTGGAATTTTCATCTTCAAACTGGAATTTTTATTTAATACGAAGTAAGAAAAGGTCATTTTCCTTTGTTCCCAAACAAGACTTACAGCAAGAATGGTCCCGATGGTATAACCAGGTTCTCCACTAAAAATCAAGGAGGTTCCATACCAAAAAGCGAGTCCGTAGGTCCCATTCATRAAGAAGTACACAGCTCCGAGAGAGAGTTTCGAAGCTATAGCCTTTTTGATGCCAACATCTTTTGCATCTTTTAGATTCTGTGTATACCTTACAAAGACAAAACACAATGTAACAGCCTTTGWGGAAAATAAAATCAAGCATATTTTGTCATAATTAAAGGGTCAGACCTTTGGATTTCTTTCTCCTGGCCTCCAAAAGCTATGACTGTTCKGATGGATGACAAGACTTCTTCTGCTACAGCCCCAGCTTTGGAATAGGCATTCAATTCCTTACTGGTCAGTGAGATGACCATCTGTAATAAATTAACCACAAAGAGYGGATCTGAGATAGTAATAGTATGCAAAACATTTAATTCAGGTGGAATCAGAATTCTAGGTAGCTTAACKTTACCAGGTATCTAGTTGCCGAGTATCTAGTATCTATCTAGTCTATTTTTCGTCTACTAGTGGAGCTTCACTGTTTTCTCTCTGTGGTTTAAAAAAAAACTATTTTAGATGTTGGTATAATTTAAAAAGATTTGATTCATAGAAGGATATTAGGGACACTGCTCTTTTGGAGTACTCTGGAAACTGGTGAGCCTGATTTGACTCCGTATGATTAATTACTATTATGTACAAAGCAAGACTTCCAGGTCACAGGATTGTGGCAGAAAGAGGAACATGATCCTGYATATGTGTGGGGTATGTCCTTTGGAACTGTACTGCATAATGTAGGCTGCCCAGGAAATGCTTTGTATTTGAACTCCAAGAGGTGATATTTGGAGCAAAAGGGGAGAATAGAAGTGTTAATATGAGTAGGCAGGTATACTTGATTTCTCAAAATTTGACAACAGATGTGCCTTTTTCCTTATTAATCCTTTCTAGTTTAGCAACCAGCACAACAGTTTCAGTGAAAGGGAACAGCAGGAACACTGTCTTCAGAACTGTGAATTTGCAATATTGCCTCCTCTCCTAACAAATCTACCCAGTTTCAAAGTGCATTCCATAAGACTAGGGCTGATTTTCTGTATGTCATGCTTGRGTGGCTGTTAAATTCAGGGTAGAATGAGCTGAGTAGTATTCATTATTTTCCAAGTTCACTGAATAAAGACAGCTATTTCTATAATACATCACTTAGGGGAAAACACATCCTCATGCAAAGCCTTGGACATAGTATTTAATAAATGCTTGCCAAATTAAACTGAACTGAAAAAAGATAGAAACCACCCACCCTGGTAGCTCTAGTCATTTGGGGAACACAGGTCCTCAGTTGCTTCCTCTTCAGTTCATACAGTTATAAAACTTAGATTGCCCTCTGCTGTTTCTAACTCATCTCTCTTCCCTGGGCAGTGAAAACTCTGATCATAGTAACACATTGTAAGTAATCTTCCCACCAAGAGATCCTCATTTCAAATAAGATGGGGATACAGAGTTTGTCAAGATTACAAGGTTAACACTAGAAGTCACACTAAATATAGATTTGTTGTCTAAACAGCCATGCCTATTCTTAAGGAATCAGTCACAGAATACTTTYATTGCCAAAAATTCTTTTTTGGTTAATTCCATATTAGCAAATAAACTCCTGAAGTCTTATGGAGTTGATTCCCCAAGAGAATAACTAGTATTTCAAAATTAAAAGCWCTATCCCTCCAATCTGGTGGTTGGGTATATACACTGGTAGAATTACCAAAGGCTCAATTTGGAGAGGGATAGTAGGATTATACTTGTTTTTGAACTTCACAAAGAGCACTGGTTTCAAAACCAGGCTGTAGACAAGATTAACATCTAATAGTGTACACCGCTGAAAAACAGAAACACATTTATCTAATACAAAAAAAAAGGCAGTAGCAGACCTTTTAAATTTTATTCAAATTGTGTATTAAAAATATAAGATTGAAGAGGCTGACACAAAAAAAATGTTTTAAGAGTTTATCCTTTTTGGAACTTTTCCTTTGGTTCTACCCAGTRAAATAAAGCAGCACACATTTATCTGGGAATTCAGAACTCATGATCCTCTAGTAGCAGCAACTAAGCATCCCGTGTGTAATGTCTCACACCTCCCCATGCTATATCCTGGGAAGCTTCACTAGGCTGCACAATAGCAAGGGATATTTTTTAATGTTAGTAAGATGTTAAAACAAACTTCAATTTAGTCAGATAACTTTTGAAGACAGGAAAGTGATCCGCAATGAACAAAATGAGAAGAATTTGTGGATGGCAGCACCCTTCATAGTTTGGGTTGTGGAAAATGAATAGAAACATCATTTTTGACCAACTCAGTAAGGCTTTAAGTTCAAACCTCAGCTTCGAGCCATGCTGCTTACCCGAGAGCACATTGCTGCCGAAGCCATGATAAGAGGCGATGTGGACAGAGTCACCAGGGTCAGTTTCCAGCCCTTCACGAAGCCAATTGCCAGGCCAATGGAAAAAGTAGACATATTTTGAAACAACAGAGCAATCTTGTCTCCAATGCCATCRCTGATTTTGTTGATGTCACTGAAACAATCAAATATAGTTGAGTTGTGTCCATGTCACATGTGAAAACAAAGTTGACGCACTGCACATCCATCTGTCCATTCTCTTACTCAGTCATGCGAGTGTTCAGTTCCCCGACGTCACAACCATCGAACCAACCGATGTCCTGCGCCARAACCGAATGAAAAAACTGTTTTCGAATTCTCTTGGTCTGCCGTGCTGCAGCTATCACCCAAAAGGAAATCTGCATGTAGCCAAAAATCAAGGCAGTAGCTCCTATTCCAACATAATACATAGTCAACCTGAAGAAAGATTATTGGAAATGTTAGACTGAAACATAACTTGTTTTCCTTGCTTCTGAAAGAAAGAAGGGAGAGGGGAGGAAGGGAAGGAAGGAAGGAAGGAAGGAAGGAAGGAAGGAAGGAAGGAAGGACATCTGTCATAATATTTGAGAGAATTTATATTAGATCTAGAAAATAACTAAAAATTTAACTTAAAATAATAAAGTATATACATGGAATGTAATGAATAATCTGTGTTTCCTTGCTAAAACATCTGGAGTATGTTTGTCTCTTTTTACATTAGAAATTAGCATCTTAAAACTTACTTGCTATTTTTATCTTCTTTAGTATTTTTAATACTTTCATGGAAAAAAGTTACATTGGGGTGATTAAAATAGGTGTCTATGGAACAGAAGGGTAAAGAAAATGTTAATAATCACAAGCATTTGATAAAAAGCTTTATATGTATCGCTAAATCCAAAATTCAACTTTAAGGAATTTAACTAAGGTAATATGTGCAAAAATTAATCTATATGGAAGGTCACTGTGGTATTTGTAATAATACAGAAAAGATGAAAACAGTCTAAATATATAGCAAGTGGAATATCAGATAAAAAATGTGGTCATTTAACAGATGCATACTGGGTGCCCAGCATGCATGAGGTTCTAGAGATACAACCATGAGCAAGATAATGAATCCTCTCATTCTCATGGGAGGACACAGATAATATACAATGAGGAAGAGTTTCAAGTTGTTCCATGAAGGAAATAGGCSGGGTGATAGGTCATAGAATAATTTGTGGGTAAATGTGGGTTGGAAGATTAAATGCAGATAAATACAGTGGTTAAGAAAAGTTTCTTTGAGGAAGTGATATTATGCTGGCATCCAAAATGTGACATAGGGTCAGCCATAAAAAGCATGAAAAGCATTCAAGGGAGGGAGAAAAGTTCTCTCCCAGGAGACAGTGAGGCAGAAAACAAGTTCAACATGTTCCAGGAACTGAAGGAGTTTAAAGTGGTGTGAAATGTTGAGGCTGGATAAATGCAGCATGTCATGTGGCTTGCAGTTACAGTGCAATGTTCACACGTTATTCCAAGAAACAAAAATTGTCAGCTATTGGACCCCTCAAACCAAATCAGCCAACCTTCTATGCCAAAAAGATGACTGAGAAGACCGTTAGCGCAAAAACCTTTTTTCCTGCCTTTGGTGACACTCTAGTGATACAAGCATACCTTGGTTATAGCAGCACAATTTACAATAGCCAAGTGATGAAACCAGCCTAGGTGACCCTTAAGAGATGAATGCATAAAGGAAACACAACAGAGTTTTATTCAATCATAAAGAAGAATAAAATTTTGTCATTTGCAGTAAAATGGRTGGAACTGGGGAACATCATGCTAAGCAAAATAAGCAAGACTGAGAAAGTCAAGAGTCATATGTTGTTTCTCACATGTGGAAGTTGGAGAGAGAAAGAGAGAGAGACAAAGAGAAAGAAACTGGAGGATCTCATGAAAAGAGAAGGAAAGCCAAAAGGTAGAGGCTGTGGATCAAGGGGAGGGCAAAGGGAGATGCTGGGGAATGAAATTGACCAAATTCTGTTATGTACACGTACAAATATGTCACATGAATCCCATTGTTTTATATGATTATCTGCCAATAAAAGTTTTGAAAAATTTCTTCCCATTCTGTCCCCTTGATGTAAGTTTTTAAGCTGCTTGAAGAGCACCCCATTACATGCTTCCCCTTGATTAGAGTATCTTCTGAGATCCTTGGTGGGGAAAGATAACTTGAAAATCTGTTACAGCTGGCCCAAAGGGTCCTGTTCACCATGGGAGTCTAATCTTTAGGTATTTTACTGACCCTGAATGTTGAATTGCTATATTCATTTGCTATGACACAGATATTTAAGTCTCTTAGTGCTCTGTAGATTATGATTGTAATAATAAAGCACTTCTTTGTTCAACATACTCATCCTAAAAATAATTACTGATATAGAGGATATAAAGAATGAAGAAAGGGGCAAAACTGGGAATAACTCCTTAGGTTTTGGTTGGGCAGCAGGGTGAGTGGGGTGCCATTTACAGATGTAGGAGACTGAGGAAGGAGGAGAGAATTCAAGAATTCTGGCTGGCCTTGGGCATGAGATGTCCAAGTCTGAGATGGCTATTAAACCTYAAAATGGTAATTAAGTTGAAAATGGGAGTCAGAAGGACTAGAGAAGGGTCTAGACTAGAATTTGAAAAATAGTAGCTTACAGGCAGTTATTAAAACAAAGAGCCACTGGGCATGGTGGTGCATGCCTGTAATCTCAATGGCTCCGGAGGCTGAGGCAGGAGGATCATGAGTTCAATGCCAGCCTCAGCAAAAGCGAGACACTAAGCAACTCGGTGAGACCCTATCTCTAAATAAAATACAGAATAGGGCTGGGGATGTGGYTTAGTGGCCAATGCTCCTGAGTTCAATCCCTGGTACCCTCCCCCAACAATAAAATAAAATAAAAAATAAAACAAAGAGCCAGGATGAGACTACATACCCAAGGAGAGGGAGAATGAAATGTAAAGAAAGTTACATTTGAAAAAGGTAATGAAATGTAAAAAAGAGAAAAGGGCCAAARATTGATCTCAAGGACCCTGCAAACATGCTGAATTTTGGGTGAAGAGAAAGAGCCTCCAAAGGAATGACTGAGAAGTGGCCAATGAGTGATTGAAAACTAGGAGAGTGAAGTACCAAACAAGACACAAGAAGAAATAAAATTGATGCTTATTATTTGACGATTATGTATTTAGTACTAGGCATTAAAATTAATTGGTAAGTCCAAAGTTAAAAAAAAAATTGATTTGCCCAATGCACATCTTYCCAGCTGAGGTCCACAGAGTAATGTTCTGCATTTTTGTTTCAGCTCTATTACTATAAAAAAGTATAACTTTCATGGTCTATTTCTAAGAATAAGGTCAATTTTCAGGCTTTTCTAATTTTTGTGCTTTTTGCTGGTGATTTTGCTGTTTGTAATGACTCCAAGAATCAGGATGAAGTGCTGTCTAGTGTTCCAAAGTGCAAGAAGGTCGTGAGGTGCTCTGTGGAGAAAAAATGTGTTAGATAGGCTTCATCCAGGCATGGGTTGCAGTGCTGTTGACTGTGAGTTCAAGGTCACTGAATCACTAAGGTGTCTTTAAACAAAGACATACATAAAATTAGGTTACTAATTGATTAGTTGATGAAACATATGTGACCAAAGGCTCACAGGACCTAACCTATATTTCTTCAAAGAGTAATAATGTCTAGTATTTGCAAATTCAATGTTCCTAGTGAGTTTGTTAGAACACAACTATTGCAAATAATAAGAATCAACTATAAGTACTTTCTAATAAGAATCACTGTTCAAGGACAGTATAGAGCAGTACAAGTTTAATAAAAAGTGAAGAAGAACATTGGGTTTAAAGTCAAATAAAAA